TTCTCTTAAACATTTAACTTGAAACATAAAGATTAGTTGAATAGGAAGCCATATAGGAAAACTCCCTCATGTAGATTTTTTAATTAGGTCTGGCTGTATAGTACCCATTCCAAGTGGAACCTTCAAACTGCATATATAATGGGAAAAAATCTCCAGTGTAAGTCTTAAGTGCTATCTTTTCATCCATTATTTCTTAGCTGACTTCATTGTAGTATTCTGTAAAAGTGCTATATTTAAGAGAGTATCTTGATGTTTTTTATTAGATTGTATTATTAAAAACTTCTATGAATTCAAAGATTTCTCCAGCGGAAGTATAAACGAAGTCATCACCGAAATTCATGATCAAATTTTTAGTTTTGTACCCTTTAGCATACTCTTCAATACATCTTATTTTTCAATCTGGTTGATTTTCATTACCTTGCAATTAGTTATTGATTAATTGTTCAATATCATTCACATTTATTGAATGGAGCTAAATATCACATGGTGGATGATAGGTTTTGTAAAAAAAATGAGAGTAGATTCCCTTTTAACTTCTGTATGATTTTTATTCTCCTTAAAACTCAGGACTCCAATAAAATTGCATATTATTAGTCTCTTATAACTGTGATTTGTGTTAGGCTGAGAGTCTCCCCATAAATAAACCTTTATAGCCAATTAATGAGAAAATTTTAGCAACTTCTGAAGAATGACCGAATGCATCTGCGTGCCAAGCAATTTCAGGGATAATTCCAAACTCTTATTTTAGAAATTCATGGCCAGTTTTGATGTTTTATAATAAATCAGTAAACAATGGGCAGGCTTCGTCGCTAGCTACCCAGCCTCCATTAACAAATGAAAATCTTCCATCTTTGACTAGTTATCTCATTCTTTCTTTTGTTGTTTAATCCTGTTCATCCCACCATCTTTTAAAGAAATATATTTCAGCTTAATTGAACTTACGATATTTATTTTTTTCTAAAGATTCAAGAACACTCGTAATGATTTGCTTCACATATTAATCATAATAATCCTCAGGAGTTTATAGCCAGCCAACGTCTTAATGAGAATGAGAGATTACATGGAATATGATTTTCGATTCACCAGCTTTTTATAATTCTCTATCAATAGTATTTTTATCATTAGTTAGCATGTTTTCTTTATTAATTTCAGATTCCTTATGAAAGATTTGCCCAAGGAATGAATAAGCATCTGCTTTTTCAAAATAAAGGAAAGTAATCAGAAGGAGTATTAATGCATATTTGTTGATCAGATATTATTTTTTCATTTTCACCATTTTTGATAAGTTTAGTTATGATATTTTTTATTTATAATTATATCTGATTGAGCAAGTTTTGATAAATAATATTTATTAGATTTTGATCATTATCAGTAATAACCATAGTTATTAAATTTGAGACCAGAATTAAATTCTATAATTCTCAGGTTAAATTTATTTCTTATATTTCAAGTTTTACATAATTCTATTCTTTTGGGGTTTTGGGGTTTTGGGG